GACAGGCCGGGTCCCCGCCGCCCGCCCCGCCCGCCGCGCCCTCTCGCCTCTTTGCTTTATTTCCGGCCAGCAGACAAAGGTTTTGCCAAAACAGAATAGCTTCTTATTTTGTATAGCTTTCCCCTTAAATCAATCCCATGTTGTACATCTCAATATCTGTATTTAAAAGAACAAGCAGAACCCGCGGGGCTGACTGCAGACCGTGAACTTGACAGCATCCAGACCCCTGCCCTGCTCCTGGGCAAGCCCACCCTTCTTAGGCCCCTCGCCTCCACCGGGAAGCATTCCAGGCTCAAGCCCCACGGGCCCGGGTTTTGCTGACTTACCCCTTCGCCTGGGCTCCTGCAGAAAGAGGCGGGTGGCTCGGGTTTCATTCATCACTCATGGAGCTTACCCGGTGCCAGGCATTGTCCTGGACTCTTTACAAAGTGAATTCATCTAATCCTTTTTCACACTGCTGAGGAAATAATGAATCAATCTTATGCCCAGAGAAGAGGAGTGACTTGCTCAAGGCCACACAGCAGCTCAGTGCCAGAGAGATGTGACCCACCTAAAACCTTGCAGTGGAGAAGGCACCCTAGCTGGGGGTTCAGAGGGGCAGTCTGGTCCCCACTCCCCACACTGCTGTTTCTCGGGAGAGCTTACTGGAGAGCGGGTGGGAGGTGAACGGGGCTGACAGGCTGGTCACCCAGAGCCACCAAGGGCTCCCCACCCTCCTCTGACCCTACGAATCACTTGCCTAGCATGTGTTCGTACCTCCTTTGTGCCAGGCGCAGGGCTAAGGGCTGACGCTGCAAACTTCATTCTGTCCATTCCCACGAAGGAAACAGAAGGAAGCCCAGAGAAGTTAAAGACACAGCCGCTCTGGCAGTGTGGACTGGGCAGGGGGTGGTGGTGCTTGAATCCAGATGATTCCACCAAAGCCCTGGCTCTTCAAACCACTCTCAGTGGTTCTCAAACTTGCCTGTAGACACTGACTGCTGGAGGTGGGGACGGACCCCAGCCCCTGCCTGTCCCGGCTCCCTTGAATTGGACTCTTTGGGGACAGGGCCAGCAAAGCCACATTCATAACCAGGTGATACTCATCATCTGGCAAGTTGGAGAACCGCAACTCACAGGGGCCCCAGACCCTTCAGGCTCCAGCTCCAGAGAGCCTGGGAAAAACCGGAGTCAGATTTTCCTTCTCCAGGCCCTGCTCTTCCATCTCAGGGTCTCTCTGCGTGTTTGCTGTGATCCAAGGGTCACAACACAAGCCCCCGGGCAGCCCTGGGGACCCTAGGAGGGGAGAGGAGGGCAGAGGGAGGAAAGAGGAGGGATGGAGGTTGGGAGAGGTGCTCTGGGACACACCTGTCTTGGTCGGACCACAAAGTCATCCCTGTGGCTTATGCAGCCCAGTGCCTGCCAGTGCTGCAGGGAGGAAGAGGAATTTGGCGGGGGGGACTGCTCAGAAACAGTCCATCTGTTCTGCCCAGATCCTAAGCCCCACCCTGGGGTCCCACAGGAAAGGGAGTTGGGGGCAAACCGGCCTCCATGGGAGTTTACAGAGCACCACGCTTTCCACTGGCCCTCTGTCTGCCTGAGGTCATCAAAGCCTCATAATCATCCGATCATCGATAAGATCATCGATAACCACGGACTCCACTTTGAAAGTCAGGCTTAAAAAGGTTTTTTTCACTTGCCCTGTTCACAAT